CACACACACACACACAATTTCTAATGACCAGCCGTTACTCACTAAGCATTTACAACACCTGCATGGCCCATGTTACATTCATCCTACTCATACATTCATTAGTGCATGTTAATATACGAAAGGCTAATGGGGTGTGTATGAAAATGCACTTAGCTCTCTACAAGAGTAACTACTCTGGGACATGTTGGCTTCCTCGCATAAGGATAAGACACATATAATGCTCTGTGGGTGCGAGTCTGTGTAAATATTTACTGGAGTTGTGACAAAGATGGATGGGAACATTAGGATTTGGGACGCAGTAAATATAAATGTATCAAAATGTTGTCTATGCTCTCCTATCCCAAGTGATTTCTTGCAATGGATTTGTTTAATTTGATTCCCTGCATATCATTTTTAACTCTGTGCCCATAGATGACCTACTTGTGTATAAGGAATCCTGTCATGTAGGTGTATGTGTAGTTTCATGGAAGCAGACAGTATCTCATACAGACAGCTTATAGATTCACCTTACCAATTCTTATCTGTCCCCCATTTTACACACACACATAAACACACTACACCACATCATAAATATTAATAGAAAGTTCAGTGGACTGGACTAACAGCCTCAGTAAAAGGGGACAATATAATGCCAATGGGAATAAAAAGGCCAAGAACTATGAGTCAAGGTCACTGCTAGGATTCTACTGCAGTATTCAGTCATTGTAGGGAAATTTCAGTGTCATAAAATAACACAATCTTCATCTTAATATTAAATAAAGAGAAGAGAAGGTTTTAAAATGTTTATCTTGGAAACCAGGAGGATCACATATGTTTGGGCAGAAATTGCAGGTCTGGTTGCATATTCTGTTCATATCTTTTGAGTAAGTTATGTGAAATCCTGCACTCGCCCTAGTTCTGTTTATTTGAACAAGAAAGTCTCTCAAAAACAAAGTCTTATTCATAATGATGGCCTGGCATTCATCCTAGGGATTTAGATCTATTGCATAAGCCTTCAACTACATGCTTAGAAAAGCCTTAGAGATAAAGATGTTTCCCTATGTGTCCCTATTTGGGATGCTTAATCTGCATTTTGATATGAATGAGGTCAAAGAGATATTTCTAAGAGAGGCTAAAGGGAAACTATTTCAACCCGCCAAGAGAGAAGATCAAAAGGACAAGTGCAGTGGTGCACATTTGGATAAAGACTAATGAGACACTAAAAATAAAGCCCTGAGACTGCAAAGGAAAAAAAACCATCACAGGCACAGGTAGATGCACACAAACAGAATTAGGAAGAAAGAACCACCATATCACTGAAATAAGTAAAAACCTAAAAGCACAGCATCTGTGTTAACCTGCCAACTCAGCCGGACTAAAACACAAGACTCATCTCCTGGTCAAGGCATGACTGTGTAACTACATTTGTGTAATAAAGTATCTTAGACATCGTAAAATATATAAATCCATTTGCCTTAGACATTTTGCATTAGAGAGAGTCTGGCAGAGATAAGAGAATAATAAAGACAAAAAAGTATTTCTACACCTTCTTATCTTGTATTGAAACCAAGCCTAGCACTTTTATCAGCAGTGTTAAGGACAAATGAGAGAATTTGGATGAAATCTCAGAGATACATAAGTGGACACCATTCTTTCATGGACTTAAGTCTAATGTCCTCGCTGCAATTTGCAGACAGTGAAGAACCCTGCAATGCAGCCTAGTTTAAATCCTCCATGAAAAAAAAGACAGATGAAAAGGGCACATCAGTTTAAAACTGAGCTAAGAATGCCGTCTCCCTCCCTACAGGGAGCAGCAGGGGTCAGTCTGGAGTGGAACTGAGACCAACTCGCCCATTTAAACAAGTAAAGACAAATGAAAAGGGCACATCAATTTGGAGTGGACGTGGGCACAGCATCTCTTTCTCTGCACAGTGTACCTCCCAGAGGCGGTATATTAGGCTGAAAGGGGCTCAATGGGGGCGAGGTGCATCACTAAATAATGAACTCCCAGCAGCACAATTACTGAGCATAATGGCTGCTTTCATCTTAACAGGGAGAGACTGTGTTTAGTTGTGTGTGTGTGTGTGTGTGTGTGTGTGTGTGTGTGTGTGGATGTTTGTATTTTTGTGGATATATAAGTATATGCATCTTTGTGGATAAAGAAGTCCATGAGCTATTCTTGCTACTGTCTACAGTATATGCTTATTCTAAAAAGATATGGTGAGCAAAGTGAAGTGAGATGAAGAAGAACTACCAGCAACCCTACACCGAGTGTGAAAGGTGTGTGCGCACTGATTTAGACTTACGAAGTTCGCCCACTTTCAGAATTTCACAGAGCATCTTGGTCAGCTCGATGCTGCTGCGCCCAAACGGACACTCATGCTTGTCTTCTCGACTGCTGTTCTCCAGGACGATCTAGAAACGTAGATAAGATCAGATAAGCCAGACAAGTAACATCAGGAGCATATCTCTTCAGTGGTTTTCCGTGTGATATTAAGGGCCAGCTAATTCTTGTATAAAGCCCTAATATACCTGGAATTTAGTTAAGACTAAAAATAACAATGTAGATCTGGATCCAGATCCAGATTAAAACCTCCATGTGAAGAATCATTATGCGATATATATATTTTTTATTCCATTCATTTTTAATGTGACCGGGTGGTGCATTGCTGTCTGCCACAGTTTCTTTTTGACACAAGGACTACGAGTTGTTACAGAAATGTTCAAATCCCACAAGTAGGGGCATTAAAGACGTTCATTTGATTTTAAAATAACACATTTAGAGCATTTTGAGGCCTTGGCAGAGGTATGCACTCTGAGGGTGCTTTGTGGTTTTAAGTTTATGTCAAATATATTTGCATTAATTTAAAATACCACGCTGGCTTGTCACACTGAAGGTCATTTTCCCATAAACATTTCCATAATGGTTGACAGTATTAGTTATTATTTGACCTTATCTGACCGCCTGAACTATCTGCTTGGGAGCCAAAAAACATAAATGAAATCTCAACAGCAAAAAAATTCACTCTAATTATGTGGATGGTGGCAGAGCGCCATAAATGAGGCCATCAAGGTCCCAATCATTCTAGCTGGTGACAGTTTAATTTGGGAAATTGGAGACTGTTTTCTCCCTCTGGTCGACTGATAAAGGCTGAGTCGGCACTACTAAGACATCTCTTTTCTCACTTTCAGACTAACATTATGATACAGTATACACACACACACACACACACACACACACACACATATTTGCAGATGTGGCGATTAAACTGCAGCATGCGCACAGCTGATACAAATAGACACAAATTTAAATTACAATTAGAGTGCTGGACAGCTGCTGTAAAATGGTTCCAACTAACTTGAAAGAGAAAGTGGAAACTTGCACACTAATCATCAAACCAGTAAATACCATCCCATTACAGACAATCACTGCCGTTATAGTACGAGTCTATTACCCAGGAGTGTAAAATCATGCTGACTGTCATGTGAAAATGACAAAAATGCTTAAAGTTGTTACACTGCCACTCAGGGACTGACACTGAAAGGAATTAAATCATTTCTGTTGTCTGGGCAGAGCAACTTCATGAAATGCAGTTTTAGCTGAAAGAAAATTTGGGAACGAGCCAGAAACTACAAACAAGTGAATGAGCTGGAGGGAGGAAGGTTTGGTAGGAAACAGAGGTGACGAGGAGGAACATAACACCATAGAACTCACTGAGCAGTGTGTGTGTGTGTGTGTGTTAGCGTCTCTGCATGGGGTAGAACTGCATAGGAAAGAGTATGTGCATGTTTACCCTGATGTAGGCGTCCTGGTGGTGTCTGGCAAAATACAGCATGTTATCCAGAGCCAACATGCCTGGAGGAATCTGGGTGAAATCCACAGCTGGATTGACGTGGTTCTGAGACACAGAGGAGAAGGAGGGTGAGACATGGACTTAAACACACATAACCCAATCCCTTTTTAACCTTTATTCTTTTAGGTATAATCCACTGAATGGGCTCTTTTTCTCATCACAAAGAAACAGGCAATCACACTGGGAGTTACACAGTACACCAGGTTTCCTGCTGTTTGGGTTCAAGAACCACAACTGAAGTACATAGTGAAGTAAGATTCACTCCATTCTCAGTTATGTTATGGGTATGTTGCATGGCAACTTGATAACAATAAATACTAAAACAATAAGCTCAAAATTAAAGATCAGAAGAAAAAATCCTCCCTAGGTATTTTTCATTAAGAAGGATTGACTGACAGTCGCCTGGCACCATAAATAAAGTATAAATTAATTCAAATATTGTTAAATTCTGATTGGTGCACGTAAGTACATGAGGTCAGCTTTTTCCAACATATGCCCGCCCACTTGGAACCTGTGAAGCCAAGACAAAAACAGAAATACAGAATTCTCATGTTAAATTTACCAAAAATGTTCTAACTAACTTATTATTTTGAGGCAACACACTACCACAAACTACCAGCCTTAATTTCATTTCGTGTCCGTGCTTTTCATGCTTTTTTTTTTTTTTTGGCTTTAATTTTAATACTTTTGACGCTGGATGTCAAAATGCCCTTGAACACACCTCTAAATGGAGATTTCTTTTAAAACAGTCCCTGTTTCAAACCTAATGATGAATTAACTGACTTTTTAAAATGCCAACAAATTAGCCCAAATTATAGCCCAATATCACAAATCACAATTTGCCTCAAGGGGATTTATATCTGTACAGCATACAACACTCTCTGTCCTTAAGAGTCTCAATTTGGATGAGGGAAAGAAACCTCCAAAAGAGCAACAGAGAAGGTATCCCTTTCCCAGGACAGATAAACATGCAATAGATGTTGTGTGTACAGAAAAGACCAACAAAAGAATTATTATTAGGCTAGGTTATACTTATTATGATAAGAATGCAGATGTAAGTAGGTTGTAAAACTTAAGTGAAGAGTGTTATGTTTTGCTAAATTGTCAAAAATGAATTCAAGTATACAGAATATTTACTTGGACTAGTGTAAAAGCAACAATACCTCAAATTTCAAGAAACAAACTAAAAACTTTGTGATAACAAGCCTGCTTCTTTAGCCTCTACATCACCACCTCCCATAGCATCTAAATATTGTATGAGATATGCAGATAGATGCTGCTTCTGCTGTCACAATCTATCACACTTAATTCCTCCCAGATATTGCGGAAGAATTCAGTCGACTAATGATTAAATCCATGGCTACACGTGCAAACACATCACTCTAAGCCTCACCTTGAGTTTAAAAGGTGAGACAGGATGTTGCAAAAGGAAAGCGACAGGAATAGGAGGTAGGAAAGCAGCGGATGAAAGAGGAATGGAGGACATTGAGATCTGGCTCATCAGTTTTGTAATTCTGCCTGACAGGAAGCAGACTTATAGGCTTAAAACAGAAACAGACACCCAGGCACATGCATATCTTAAAAAACACCCTCATATGGACATATATTAAAAAAAATATTGCAGCGTGTGCAACAATCCCTACTTAAAGAACCTGAAGGCATTAGACAGCAAACAAATTATCTCAGCAGTGATAAGATCTATCTAGAGAATTATGGCTTGTGTGTGTACAGTACATGTTTGTGTGTCTCTCTGTGTGTGTGTGTGTCTGCAAAGCTGTCTAGCATGGAAAGCAGACTAAGGATTTTAGGGTGAGTTTTCTCCACACTAGTGGAGACAAGGCAGTCCAATTGTCCTTATCTTTACTGAGCACACTGCAGTGGGAGTGTGGATGGGAAGAGCCCCAAAACAGCTCTGGGCTTACACTGAGCCACGGTGGGTTTAGTTCAAGTTCTTATGCTATAGTTAGACCACTGCGTACAATACCAGACTCACATACACACACATACACACACACACACACACACACTCACATATACAGTTCATTAAAAACATGCATGCCTGAAGGTAGGCAGATGACAGGATGAGAAAAGTAGTAAACAAATACATTTTATAGAGAAAAACAAGAGGAAATACAGTATAATACATACATAGGTTAACATAAATAAACACAGAAAAACGCACTCTTCAATGCAAAATTAAATTTACTATAATTCATTTTGAGGTACTTGTACTTGAGTATATCCATTTTATTCTAAGTTATATTTAACACTACATTTAAGAGGAAAATATTTAACTCCACTACATTTATGTTTACTTTTCTGATTAAGACTTGGGTTTATATATATATATATATTATATTAAATTAATGATCTCATGACCCATCAGATTTATCATGTGTCCATTTGATGGGAGCCCGACCCACACGTTACAGACCACAGATCTAGTTTATTTAACAGTATATTAGTAGTTAAACTAGCTCCACCATGAGCAGCTACAACAGTAAAGTGCTGCTTACGCATTGATGGATCAGTATCAACATTCTACTAAATATATCGGCCACATGGACCATTTTTCTGCAGAAAAAGTACTTCTGTTTATATTTTGATGATACAACTTTACTGCTGACAACATTTATGCAGAGTATTTTTAAATTGTTGTTGTATAAGTACGTTTACTTACTATGTAAAGGACCTAAATACTTCTTCCACCACTGTTCAAAACCAATTTCTCTGTGCATGCCCAGACAGATACATACATACATCATACATGCTTTAATCTGCGGATGGACAATCATGTCCAATTAACAGCCATCCTGTGTGGACAGACTGGCTCATGTTTTCCTTTCTGAACTCAGGTTTGTATGTGTGTCTGTGTGTGTGTGTGTGTGTGTGTGTAGTAGATGAGAGACCTTGTGAGAAAACATGTCAAACTTACAATAAAGCCGAGTTTCTTGTAGTCGCGGGTGTACATGGACTTGCGTTTCTCGATGCTGCCACTGTTGGGCTCACACTCCACGTCGAAGGCAATTCTCCGCAGCTCAAAGATGATGTCCCTCTGAGCCTGCACACGCAGAGAAGAATATAAAAGTGCTGCTCATGAATCCATCTGTCTTTTCTTCCATTCACCATTTTATAATTTAAGAATGCTTCAGCCTCATCTTCACTGTCTGGGGTCTTGCAGTGCCCAAGGCAACCTGGCCAACAGCCATGTCTCTCCACTGTTTTTATTACTTGGCCAACCTAAAATAACAGTTTTTTAGAAACCTGGCCGGATCATGCCTTAACTGCCCACAAGCTGCTAAATAAAAGATTAATGATTGTTTACTCCCAGCAGCTGTATCATGTTCGACTGTCCTGGTGGAGGATTACTCTATTGAGATGTACCTCTTCTTTTTCCTGAAAAGGTTTTCTTGGGGATTGTTTTTTGCACACCTGCATGGTTTGAGGTTACTTGTTGAATGTAGACTACAGTTAGACAGGATTTTTCTGACTACTTATTATTTTGTTTTCCTCATGTCTGATTTCAAATGACAAGTCTGGTGATGTTCTATATTTTTCTTACTGTCAAACCCATGAAAAGACCAAAAACAAACAATGAATCCATCCTACTATCCCTCTGTGCCATCAAGCTCCATTGTTGTCCCAAAGCCATAATATCGCACTATGTGACATGTTGTTTTTATGGGCACTGTAGTTTATTTTGAGTCAAAATCCCACATACCCCCACCCTACTGTCAGAAATTGTTACAATAGCACAACATGTGTATCAATCCACGGCTAAAAATAGTCCCCAACAAATACACCAATTCCGCCTGTTTGAGTGACATTTGCTAAAAACTACAGTGCCCAGCTGATTTAGGGAAATTACTCAGCTTACTTTCTAGAAATTAAACTGTATACACTCACAGTGCAACAGCTCTGCCACATATTTGACTTTAGGAATCTTATAATGGCCAGTTTTTTCTTTTTTCTATATATGCAATATTGAGGTTGAAGTAAGTGGGGTGTTGTACTTGACAAAACGCAATATCCTGTAGTCCATTTCAACACCTCTGCAAGCTAAAACCTAAGTAATAAACATATAGTTAATACCTCTGTGATGGTGTCAATCAGAACTGAACATTATTATTGTCATAAAAGTTAAAATTTGGCTGATCTTCTTTTACTACATATTACTGCATGCATTTTAAGATTTCTTAGTTCTTTCAATAGCTTGTGTATTTACTGGAATATAAACTCAAACTACACCTAATTAACTAAGGTCGAACAAAGCTGAGTTAATCTACTGCCACTAGTGACTTTATCACATATGTTTAGTTTATAGATAATGATGATCATTTCCCTTTTTGGCATTCAACCCTTCATCCATCCCTCCATTTGTCACCCGCATCATTCACAGTCCCCCACCTGGTCCTGGGGATCCATCTTGGTCATCATGCGGTCCTCCAGCAGGTTGAAGGTGAGCACCTGCAGCACGTACAGCTGGTGGGCCATTTCATCGTTGATAGGTGTGGGGCTTCGGATCACGTTCTACACGATGTGGAGGACAAACAGAGGAGGGAGAGGATGAGGGGGGTGTAGAGGGGCAGGGGAGAGTAGATCAGAGAATGGAGCGGAAGTGTTAGATGTGCAAAGAGAAGGTGAAGGAGAGAGCATGGGTTTTGGGGTCAGATAGACAAGACATGGATTTCGGAGGAAGATGGTACGAGATAACAAAGGAAAAGAGGATTTGGGAGTGAATGACGAGGATTAGAAAGCATAAGTCAGATGAGGAAAAAGGAGAGGGCGAAATTAGATTTAACATGAGGGAGAGGATGAAAGAAAGGAAAAAGGGGAACAGGTGTGAGAAAGTAAGCACAGTAGATAATAACCAACAATGTGAGACAGAGGCAGAAGTGGCAGGTGTCGTTTTCCTTTCTGATATCAGTCTGGTGCAAAGGCATAAACCTGAACAGAGATAAAAGAGAGACAAAGACAGAAAGAGAAGGAGACACAGAGACACAGGGATACACTGGAGAGGTGAGGGGGAGAAAGGCATGGTTATACTTACGCTGAGAATGATGGAGCGCAGCTGTTTCTGAGCAAGAATATGGGCCATCTCCTATAAAGGGAGAAAGAAAAGAAGGAGAGCAGAGAGAGAGAGGGAAAGAGAAAGATGAGAGGGAAAGAGAAAGATGAGACCCAACAATATCCCAACAAAATTAATACATTTTTATAGGGTATTCTATGTTTTTATGAGGAATGAATGTGGGGAAAAACAAAAACTGCCACGGCACACTGCAAAGTAAGCAGTGACAGGCCGTGAAAAATAAGAAAGCCATCCCAAAAAAAAGAACTTAATCTTAAGAAGGGATACTAAATGCACTAACTGATGTCTTCTACAGTGCAAACTACAAAGTGTGCTAATCAAGGGTGCACTTACTGTCAGGGGACAATTTAGGATGTCCACAATGTGCTCATCACACTACCATATCGTGTGCAGTGAGGAAACAAAGTCAGAGACAGAGAGACAGAGAAGGGCGAGTGAGTGAATGTAGAGAAAAAAAGAGAGCCTGAGAGGAGGTTAAAAAAATATATAATTTTCTGTCAGTGGTGCAGCTTCTGGAGGGAGAGGGGGGAGGCAACGGTGTCAGCAGAATGGTGAGTGGTGGTGGGGTGGGGGGGCATAATAATAGCTTTACTGATGGTCGAGACACACACACACACACTCATCTGTCCTTTAAGTCACACACGGCACAAACTCAGAACCAAATTGGTGTCATTAGCCCCTTGCACGTTTTAAAATCTCATCATCACAGTCATCTGTGATCAATCTGCGTATAAAAGAACCTGACATGATGAACAGGTGCTGTCTCATATCACATTATAAAACCTGGCTCCCTGCAGAAATAAAACTGTCTGCTATAAACTTATATTACCACAAATGCCTGCACCTGAGACAGGAAGACATTGTTCACTTATCACCTAAAACAACCCAATAAATTTGCCTAAAATTGCTACCAGCCAAACCACATGAATCTGATTCGAGCAGAGTCTTGTCAAATTGCCAAAATGTGCAAATTTGGCCTCAGCAAAAAAAAGAAGCACTGCAACACCAGAGTGTGCTACAATCTGTATGTGGTGGTGCTGTGAAGCTTATTTCTGCAAAGCGTGCCTTCAACTTTGTGTGCTGCACAGGAGAAAAGCGGTGGGTTAGCATCATTCATTATTAATGTCACAGCACATCGCTGGACCCTATGGTGCTGATACAGGGGATCATGTGATTAGCTACAGGGCAAAGCGTGACGTAGGTGAGAGAGCGAGAGAGAGAGATAGAGAGAGAGAGATGAGTCGAGAAATGAGAGCATGGTTGAGGAATGGGAATGAAGAGACAGATGAGTAGGGAAAAATGGGGTTTGTTGGGCTTTTACACTTAAATCACTTCTGTTCTACGAGATTTTACTGTTACACTATACTGTACCGTAGTATACACACACGAAAATCTTACAAAAATACACAGAAAGTACACAGTGTTACAGTACAACAATGCTGATGTGGAAACATGTAAATGCATCATGTAAAGCTCACTGCATTGTGAAAATGATGAATGACAGTACAGTGTGAAGGTACTGTGTGTGCATTCTCACCTGTCTCTTTTCCTCAGGAGCTTTAAGGAAGAGAGCATTGATGACAGCAATAGTGTAGGTCTGAATATCTTGATCAGTCCTGGAATTGAAAAATAGCACAAATAAGATAATTAACTTGACAAATAAGTGGTTAATTATCGTCCACCCATGTGGTTTGAGATGCATTCCCCACTAATATACTGATAGAGTGAATCAAGATAATTAAAGCCTCTACAGTTTACATCCACTTACCCCTGAAGATGTGGAATGAGCTGTCCAATGGTGATCTCTTGCGCCACCTTGTGATAAAGATCCTGACTGTTGAGCACCATGGACTCCAGAATGGCCAGAGAACGCTGCAGCACTGCCGTGTCCATGGCGGACTTGTTCACATAGCTGGCAATCTGCAGGAGGGACAGAGCAGGAGAGATAAAGGAATCTACAGAAAACACTGAATAATTTATAAGATGTAATGACTACAGATACTAAAAGGATAGTGGAGGACAGCTAAAAACAAACTTCCTTTTGACACCTGGGGACATTTTCATTTACATACATTTTCTATGTACAGTAACAGCTAATGATGTGTCAAAAGGAATATGTCATACAAATGTGGTGAATGTTTGCAGCATGCTCTGAAATCTAGGGTGCAAACTTGAATTCAATAACAGCAGCATTATAAATATAAATAAAGTCCTCTCTAAATCCCTGAGCTATTTCCTTGGCTGACCTTCTTGATGAAGGCCACAGAGAAAGTGTCCCAGGAGACGATGCCATGGTCCATCAGCTCTACGAAGGCCGTCAGAGTGAAGGACAGCAGGTCACCAAAACTACAGACACACACACACACACACACACACCATAGGAAACTTCTCTCCAGCAGATGGTTTGGACCAGTGAATAGCTGCAAAGCCCAGATGGCTTGGAACATAACAAGGAATGAGCGGTCAGCAGAGAGAGAGAGAGAGAGAGAGAGAGAAAGGTGGCGGAGAGGGGACAGAAGAACATAAGTTCAATGCTGCAACCAGGCTTGCTGGAGAAAGACAAAACGGAGACTGAAAGAGAGGAAGAAATGGGACAGAGGTTTGCGATGCAGTGCAGACAGACTGGCCTTCAAAGAGACAGCAGGGGCCATCAGAAGGCCAGCGGGAGCCGGGCAGCACAGTGCGGCGTTCAATCAGGACCAGAAAGCTACATAATAGAGTGAAGTCATGCAGTTACACAAATATCTGGAGAAATAAATCACTCTGCAAGAGTCACAGGAGGCCAAAGCAGGAAACACATTAAACAGCTGTTATATCCAAGACATATTACTGCTGCACGTACTTAATGAGAAATTTAGAAATCACATTAAAATCTACGAGTTTTAACCTGCACATAACTCATAGTAGAATAGATTGGAGTTATTTCTGCTATTTTGTGTTACAAAACAGCTTTCAGATGTTTTAAGGCTTCACCAATACATTTTACAATACTGACCTCTACTGCTTAAGGCTGGCATTGCAGAACCCCACTGCACTGAAAGTTTTGCTGGTTTATCCTTGTGTAACATGTATGTTATTACTGGTCTAGTTGCATTCTATCAAGGTGACATGGAAATACACAAACCTATGGTGCTATAAATCAGACAAATTTTTTTTTAAATCTCTTTTATTTATAAAAAGTAAGTAATGATCTGTTTCATATTTTATAATGAATTTTCAGGTTAGTTGCACGGTAGGTGATTAGTGAACAGTCAAATGGAAGATTAGTAACCCACAGCTGAAGGACGAAACGGCTTTTGCAGATGGTACTGGGCATTTAGATGACATAATGAAGTTAGCTACACAATACATGAAACCGTAGAATACTGACGTTAAACAATACATTTATGGAGGCAGAGTAAAAGAAACCCTGTTGATGGATGGATGATTCCCCTGTGGTGATAGAAGCTATTGACTAATAATGTTGAAGAGAAAGTAAGAAAAGTAGCTGGCTCACAGCGAGCATACAGCCAACCCACTCAGTCTGAGCACCATTTTGTAAAGAACACCAAGATTTCCCGGTAAGCACTGACAAGTAAGTAATAATACATGTAAGCTTTACTAAACATGTAATTGTAAAAATGCATTGGTTTTAACAGATTTCTTTAGGTTCATTAGGTTCTTAGAGATAAATCTTGGTTTTCTTTAAGTCTGTGTTGAAGAATTAGGAAGAAGTTTTAGTCTGTTGCCCAAAACCACATGCAAAAAATGCGGCCTGTAAGTGGCTGTGTTATACATATATAAAATTTCCCATAAGGCACTGGGGCAAGAGTCTTAATCATGCAGACTTGGCCAGCAGGTTAGGAAGAGCACAGAGCCAATGACGTTAACCGGCCGGGGGGGGGGGGCCTTACCAGGGCTTCATTATCTTCTGTAGTTTCTGATAGCGCCTGCAAAAGATTTGGGAAACTTTGGTGTCAACGGGTGGAAACAAAACAACCAATCCTTTTAGACTTAGTCAGCACAGTGCAGCGAATAACACGCATCCAATCTGGTGACTAGTCAATGCGTACATGTACAAAGAAGAGACCAGACTCCAAGCCAGTCTGTTACACATCATAAAAAATGCTTTCTTATTGTATGAATTCAAACATAAGCTGAACTGAAATTAAATGTCAACACACATTTTCATACACCAACTTATAGTACACACCTCTCATACCAGTAAGCCTACTTATTAAACATTAAAAGCATGCCAAGCAGAAACAGTTGAAAAAGCAGTAAGCCGTCAACCTTACTGTCACACAGCAAGCTTGGGTAGAGATGATAATGCACAGAAATGATCAACAACACTTTCATTTAAGAAAACAATAAAAAAAAAATCTGGTTTTCACACCTCAAACGTTTTGAGTGACACATTCACTGTGTGTACCAAAAGGAGAACGAAACCTTCTACTCTGTTTCCTTGCATGTGCTGTAACCTGTGCTGAATTTCTGCAGCATACTGCACATCCCATTATGGTCATGCATATTGTATTTGAAATTAAATGCTACAGCAATCAAAGTACAAATAAACATACCATTGGATTAGCAAAGGGAAAAAATAGCTTAGCTGAAATTGTATAGTCCACAGAACAGACTATTTTCATTAGGGATGTTTTCTTTCTTTAAAGTTGGACTTTTCAGTTAATTTTCTAATCAAAAAGACATTCACTTACATTGTAGTGCGGTGGCAGCAAAACTCTCAGAGACAGATATTTCTAAAACTAGACAAATACAACTGAAACTGCCTGCATGGTTAGATATCACTACAGATAAATGAGAAAATGTGATTTTTTTATTCGTGTAAACTGAACGTTTAAACCAACAGCTGAACATCCCTCTTCCTGGTGTTTCTGTAAGTAATAACACCTTTTAATAAGCTGGTTGAACTTCAAGTTGCACTGTACATTCTGAACACTACTGTGTCCAGGAGAACCTTTAAGAATCAGCTGTTCCATATTTTGGTCAGTAGAGGGCGATATCTGCCTTTGACTTGTGGAGCTCCTGTAGGAGGCAGCAGCAGCAGCCGCAGCAGCCAACTGATTTCCACATGAATGTGGTACAACATCTCTGGCAGAAGCATTAGATCACAGCACCGCTCTGCCCTCAAGAGTCTCCAGCACTGAGCCTCTTGAATAATTACAGTTCACCAAGTTGGTTGGCAGGCACACTAATGAGTATGTGTGTGTTTGTGTCAGTCACTGATATCTATCTGCTTCTCTGTGTTTTATAAGCTCCTTCTGTTGAGATGGAAATGCAGCAACCACTCGCTCTCTGTTGCTTACGTGCATGCAGAGGCCACTCCACAGTACTGAATAACGGATGTGATGGAAATTCACAGAGAAATATATTTAATGAAAGAGAAAGAAACAGAGTGGAGTCAACACCAGGGCTGCTGTGATTGCTCCTTGCAGTAAGATTAAACAGTGTCAAATATTTGCTCATTTCAGCATTATATACAAAAAGGAGAAGAGGCTTCAACGATGTCCTGTCAAATAATAAAAGCGAGTGTAATGCTAGAGGTGCTGCTGTCTAATACCCAGAAATAGGAGACCATTAAGTGGTTTCTGCTGAGGAGAAGACATTAAATATCTGACCGGAATTTGACCCTTTATGTACACACAAAACAATCAGGAGCATTTTTTTTCCACTGTGTCGTAGTAAGAACATATTTGACCTTGAACGACTGTGTTTTTACGACATGACTATGTCTGAGTCAACTCCTCATGCAAGCAAACAATACTTCAATCTACCTTTTCTCTTGCTGGGTAAAAGGGATGAATAATGAGAGTTGCATGAGGCAGAAAACGAAAGTCCTGGATGGCTGGCTGCCGCTGCTGCCCTCCCTGCCAGTTTGCACCGTATGTCTGCGTGCGTGCATGTGTGCGGGCACATTTGCACTCTTACTGTAACTTTCCTCTGGGTTTTTACTCTGACCGGAGCCTTGCACTCACACAGTATGCTACTGGGACGCACACACGAACACACCTCCCACTGGCATCATGGCTGAGAAATTCCACCTCAGCGAAAAATATCCTCGCTTTAACCTTCAGTTGAGACGGTCTCCAGGGCCCCCCAACACACACAGACAAAAACACACACGGTGACTTTTTGGATCTGCTGAAATAGTAAAATACCAGCGGAGAGTTCTCTTCTTAGTCGTGTGTAGTATCACTGTCATGGTCAGCAAAAGCCAACAGGAGCCACTGGGCATGTTCTTCACAAGCCAGTTCTTCTCTTTTCAGCAGTCATGCACTTGGATGACACCTTAAACATGTGTTATGGCGTTACGCCCTTGCTGTGGATGCTTTGCAGACAGCCTCTGGAGCTATGCCGTAGGCTCAACTGGAGCCGACGTAGACCTTCTCAAAAATGTAATGCCACAGAGATATTACATGGAGACAGAAAAACCTGTGATTGGTCAGGTCAGGCTACTTGTCATACAACTTTCTAATGTCGGTAAAAAATATTGTTTTTTTCTGCTGCACACCCTTCAAAGGTAGTGAAAGAAAGTTAAATGAACAGATTACTTTTTTTAATGATTGCAGGGCAGCAGTTTTCTTTTCAGTAGTTGGACAGGACAAACATGTCACTCTAAGTCTCAAGCTGTATGTAAGATTTTAGACAAGATTACTACAGGTACTGTATATAATGTATACAATGTATATAATGAAAAACGGTCCGATAATGACACATCTATCTATAGTGTTGCAGTGGTGCTTTCAAAGTATTCACAGTACAATCCAGTGATCTACAGACGGTCAGCCGTAACACCTAATGCAGAAGCATAAATCCTGCTTAATACAATCATGAATGTTACTGAACACAATCAGACAGCTGCAGCTGATTCAGAACGCTGCAGCTTGTCCTCACTAAGACCAAAAAAGTGGATCACATCACTATTTCTGAGGTCTTTACACTAGCGTCCTGTCTGTCAAAGAACTGCTTTTAAAAGATGGATGTTGGTTTATAAAGCACTGAGCCAAAATACATTCTGGTCTGGTCTGATATGTTACGAACCATCCAGACCTCTCAGGTCCTCTGGGACAGGTCTGGTTTCTGTCCCAGATGTCAAAACTAAAAATGGAGAGGTAGCTTTAAGTTTTTATGCACCGCATTATCTGGAAGAATGACCCTCCCAGGAAAACTGCAGGCCACTGCCTTTTATTAAATCAGATTTGAGGCTTTTGATTAGGCCCTGTAAGTTTTACTCCTGATCTTATTTTTATTTTTATATTGTGCCTTAGGCTGCTTGATGCAACTTGATGCCTTTTATATTTTATGTAAAGAACTAAATTGCCTTGTTGTTAAAATGTGCTATACAAATACACTTGCCTTGCCTTGAACTAAGAGCAAGTAACTCAAGTGCTGTAAACTTAAGCAATCAGAATGCACAGTGCAACCAAACCCCGGATTCTCACTGACCTCAGACCTGCGTAGGTGCAGTACTATTAAAACTTGTAAGACAGATACGTGGGTGTAGATACAACACTTATTATTAAAAAATTCTTTAGCTACAAATTAAAAACTTTGAATGAAACAGCATAATGGCTGTTATCTTCCATACCAAATTCATCACACAAAGAAGAATGACAAATTGTCAGGGGAGGAAAACACAGCAGCGATGGAGGAAATCCAAAACAGCTAAAAGATGCACGGACAGTTGACTTACTCAGTCCCACTCTCCACCATCTGAGTGAGCAGGGAGATGCCGTCCAGGTTGATGAACTCTTGGGCAAAGGTGATGTCCCGGGACGCATTGGCCAGGTCTTTCAGAGCCTCCAGCTTGGCATCCATGCTGGACGACTGGATCCGTTCATGAAGCTGTACTGCAGTCTGGTACTAGAGTGGACGAGAAAGATGCAGCGGTGTCAGAAGGCAAAAAGACTCACATATTGTATGAGTTCTCTCTCTGTGCACCCACAATTATCAGAGTGGGACATTTTGCTAATAAATAAAACTTACAGGGGAGGTGGTCAAACGCAGGATTGAGCCGTTCTTAATATCATTGCGATTCTGTAATGTTATAACAAGAGTAAAGCAGAAGTTAGTGCGCACTTGAAACATATTTTTATCTCACACCTGGAGTTAAAAAAAACATATAACTAAACCTTTTCTGTTATGTAGAAATTTGTTGCGTCAGCAATCTGCAGAGCAAAGTTTTCATGGTTCCCCAAGGACCACCTAAAAGTCATTGGAAGGAGAGAAAAGAAAACATTGCATAATTGGTATTAAAAGTGTAGAACGTTTTAAAATACAGCTAATAGGGTATATGTGTGGAGATAGAGAGAGAGGCTAGTCCTAGGAGAATTATTTTCAAATCTAAAGGCATGCACTTGTGCACAGACACATTAAAAGCAGACTTACCCCTCGCACACTTCTTTAATGATGGCTGAGAGAGGCTTTTTCTGCGGAAAAAGGCAAAAATACATTTAGTCTACAGTCCAAGCTTGAGTTCCTAAAACAACAGTCAACTCAGAGTGAGCTGCAATTACTTTATATTACAAGACTAGCACAATGAGAGGCTCCTCAGGAGCCTGGATTTAACTGTCCAACTACTGATGCAGGATCACTAAACATGTCTGTTACAGCATTTCCTTCATTATTATTGTGTATGAGACTGCTTCCAGGTCAGCAACTGTGATATTCTGCTCCACAGTGGTGGAAAGTAACAAATTACCTTTACTCAACTACTGTTTTACTGTTTAAGTTAGAGGTACTTTGTTTCCATTTTTTTTAAACTTTACCCTTCTACACACTTTTTACTCCATTACATTGATTTGGCGGATGCAGTTACTAGTTACATATACATTTCATATTAAATACATATAAATGTTACAGATTATTGATTAAAACACACAATATTCAATTAAATTATTCAATATGATGAGTTGAGTTTGGGTACCAATACCCAAACAAGACTTTATCTTGTGGAATATAATGATGTTTCAACCCGTTTTTGCAATTAAATAAAATATGCCAAACCATGCCAGTCAGTATTAGCTTAATATCTGCCTGCTCGCCACTGTTTCATGCTCAGGAGCTCTGGGACTTACTTAAAAATAGAAAAGCTCTGAGTAAATAACACATAATCTCAAGTTTGTTGGTTCAGATCAGGAAATATCTGATACAAGAAAAACACAAGCCTAAGAATCAGTTTTAACATTGAATGCCAAGTTTTGATACTTGATTCTTACTGAAACATTCACTTGTATTGGAGGGGACCAATTTTACACACAAAGTTCAGTTTACTCATTACAAGGAGTACACAGACTGCTTCTCAAAGTTTGAGTATCTTGGCTTGGGCCTGAAACATTTTCACAGAAAGCCTGTATTATTATTCTTTTATCATATATTTCCTGATATAAATTAAGAAACTTGTCTAAGTTATATTTTATTAAGGTAAAGAAAAGGAGTTAAATTACCATTACATTACTGTAATAGAGAATATAAGTCAGAATATCTTAGCCTCTGCTGCTCCAATTCTGATGATTGTCTTCTGTGACTTTATGAAGATACAACGCTCAATCACTGGAGTACCCCTTTAAAATTACAGTACAGCTACTTTTACTCTAGCAATATATCTGAATACAGTATATTACTGGCTCAGGTTACATTTCAGGTTGGCTAAGGCTCTTTTCAAAACACACAGGGATCAGCATGTACACAAAATCACACAGCCATTTAGTGAGCATATAACGTACAGTCACAATGTTCAAAGAGCACAAGCTGTAGTGATGAGGACTTACAAAGAAAACATAATACTAGAGGATGGTGAGCATATATGACAGGAAAAGAAAGGCAGAGAGGTGACAAGAGAAGAGTGTGGATTGTTATGCGAACAAAAGGGGAGAACAGAAGATAAAAAAATTGTGAGAAAGGCAAATTGAATGAGATAAAGGGAAAACAACAGTAAACACAGGAAGGAGGAGAGTGGATGATAATAGTGAGAGACGGCAGGAGAGTGGATGTTGAACAGAGAGAAAAAGGGATTGGAGGAATATGAAGAGCCTGCAAAATACACATGGGGGGATGAGGTGACAAATATAAGGAGTGTGTGTGCACAATGCCAGTCAGTATTAGCTTAATATCTGCTTGCTCGCCACTGCTGTCATCCTCAGGCTCTCTGGGACAGACAGTATGCTGCCAGACTAAAAAGTACTAAACAACAGGGCATCTGTGGGTTTCAAACAGCAATTTTATGACCTTTTTAATATTACCTGGAACCTGAATTTTAGACAAATTAAAAGTAAATAAATGTATCAGTATGTCCTTTAGAAAATGATATGTAATATTCTCCTCTGACTATTAAATATTGATAAAATATCAAAAGTTTGGAAGAATATGCCTGACAAATGCATGTTCGGTATTTCTTCTACTGTTGCTATTTTTATGAGCAATTAATATGCTCAATCATCAAAGAATTAGTAAAGATTTGCAATATTAGATAAGACTATTATATATATTATAAGACTTATGCATCGCTTGGAGTGATTCTTTCTCTCACGATCAAAGCCTTTTCCACTTCTGAATTGTATTATGAATTAATTAATTTTTAATAAACTGCATTTGTGGATATGCAAATAATATAAAAAGGTAATAATATATTACCACATGTGCATATTTTTTTATAACCTTTAAAAAAACATTGTAAAAATAATTAGTACACTGAAGACTTTAAAGTCTTTAAAGCTTCTGTATTACTAATGCAAACCTTAGATCTTTTTCTTATGTGGGGCCAATTTTATATGCACTGTTCTATAAAGTTATATCCTCCAACAATTAATGTCTGAGCTGGAATTTGTTAAGTGCTACAGCTGTGCATTCAAATGTTTTTCCTTTGCAAACTAAACTTTCGTTTGTGTGTCTCTTTTGAGATGGTGCCTTATTTCTGAATTGTACCTCAACGGAGATTTAGCTGGTTTAACACTGATTGTAATTATTCATATTATAATACACAGCCTGTTTTTAGTTTATAATTCATTTGGCTTTGTTTGAAGTTTAAATCTTACAAATGAGTTAATAAATAAATGAAGATTACGTTTCCATCGTTAACCCTTCCACAACTATTTCCTCCTCTCCTCTTCCAATGGCCTCTATCTGCACCATTTATCCTATTACCTCTGAGGTTTAGATACATGTCGCTTTTCCACCGTCCCGGAGTTACACCACCCCCACTATCCCATCTACTTTTCCCCTACTCCATCACATTTTTGTCTGAACTCCCACTACATCTTCCTCTCCCTTACTGTTAGGACCACTCCACTGTACTGTAGGAGTACTAAGGAGAACTATGCAAGTGTCACACCTGGTACATTACATGAGTAGTAATCACTTTGTGCATTGGCATAAACGTGAAAGCTGTGATCTACAGTGTAATAAAACATAATGTATTCTATTAAATCTGATGTTTACTGAGTCTATATCATCCGTCAGCTCTTGAGCTACTGTTATCTGACACAACACTATCCTTTTTAACTGGGAGGATAACAAGTACACTTCCTGAGGTCACTCAGTTACACAACAAGCAGACTAGGACTGATGGCAGAATTTTCTGAACATTCATTACAGATATTTTAAACTATTATTACAGATAAGCACACATTTATTTCTTCTTCTTAAACATTTTAATCTTGCTGCTATTATAGAGTCATTATGTATGCATTAAAAATCCCCTAAGACGCAATAAAAAACATTCTTATTTTACACATTTTGTCACAGTCTGATTTAACCATCACATTAAACTGCAACAGAAACTAAACTAATTTGTTACAGGTGATTATTCCTCGCACTATGTGTATATCAACACATGGACAATTCATTAATCAGCTGAGAACTGCTTCATACATTTGCAATTTTTAAGTTATAAAGTATAAAGTAAATATATAATAAATAAAGTTTATTATATTAAGAAAACACACTAAAACATGGCATGGACACGATTTTCCTGCGTGGGAATCTAATGCACACCTGTTAGACAAGTATGTAGGAAAATGAATCCAATAGAAACAGCTGCTGAGCAAACGAGCAACTAATGATCAAGATATTTCCCCTCAGGAGTTGGTGGAGACCAAAACAGAGAGTGAATATTGGACTTTCATCTGGTGGAGACAAATACGACTCCAAATGAATGCTAATATTGCTCAGTAACTGCTGGATGTGTAAATAAGCAACTATTTGTGAACAGGTTTGCCATATCAACTCAAAAGGTGCTAAAATGGCAACATTGTGTTATAGCTTGTTTACGCTGCTCCCACGTGGCAAAAAAAAAATCAGTTTACACAGGTTTAAAGAAGCTATGTTTTGGTCATGGAGCTACAATTAGAACTAAATCATAACCTGTAGAACATCCCTGCTGCCTCACATCACAGCTCATTTCCTTCCAGTTTGACTTAAATTCTCCTGCTTGTTTCCAAAACTTATTTTCTACTAGCAGCCCCACTACCTTGCCCTCCTGTTCTCTATTGCATTTCTGACAATAACAATAAAACTCTCATCACAATTGTCTGGACTTATACCAATTCCCCAGCATTCTAACACAAATGTCGGACGTTCGTGCCCATGGGGCATTGAAGATATTTGGATACAGGAATCACAGTGTGATTTATGCATACACACATATACACAGTCGCAGATGTACCTAAACATACTCTTAAACTCACACGAGGACACAAAAACACATAGACAGAAATCAGAAAAACATACATTAATAATTCCTTAAAAGGGGTTACATGTGGTACACACATTCAGGGCTGGTCAACATATAAGCTCTAACCCACACACATGCATCAAAGTAAAGCCACCTATGGCATGTCGCCACAACAAAACACACCCACGACATAATTTCACTTATGCAAAGTTGTACCCCAACATAAAACAACAAAAATACAACAAACACACAAACACACACACACACACACACACACACACACACAGGCATACACACTTTTATCTGGGTCTCAAGACCAGCATGAGCAGCTGAAAACCACTCCCCATCCATGATCAGACGCCATATGCTTGCTGCAGGGCCTATTGTACAGAGGAGATGCAGAGGGAAAGGGAGGAAGAGGTGGGGGTTGACGGTGGACAGACAAGAAGAGGAGGAGGCAACGCGCATAGTTTTTCAACAGTTTACAACAAAAAGATGAGAGGAGGAAGTGGAGAGGGGGAACGAACAGGAGAGAAAGGAAAGAAGGACAAGGAGGAGAGGCAACAGATAGGAGAAAAGAGGAGAGAGACAGGGGAAGATAAGAGAAACTGGAGAAAAGCGGAGGGGAGAGGTGGCCTTCAAGAAGTAAAGAACGACAAAAGAAGACTTTAAGACATTTTTAATAATTTAGACTGCAAGAACCCTGGTTAGAAAGGGTATTAAGCCACAAAAAACTGCATCCCTAAATCTACACAAAAAAATACCTAAAATGGACCTCATGGCAAGCCAGAGGTAACCATGTACTCCTGTAGTTCATATTTCATTCAGGTGGTTCATCCCCCATTGAGAAAAAAAAAAAAGGGCAATAATTGTGCTCCAGTTGTCAAGGTGACTCACAGCTTGTACAATCATTAGCCCATCCATGAGTCACACAAACACACACACACAAACACTCAGCGAGAGAGAGAGGGGAACAGGGCATTTTACACACCTGTATGTGTAATCAAACAACGTAACAAGTAAACTGTCACCTGTCACCCCCCCCCCCCGACGTAGTCACTGTTTGGTTGCTAATTATTTCATTAGAATATTAGACCCTGAATGATTGGCTGACATACAGTATAGCCTTTATTGTACGAGTTATAAATTTGAAGCCAAGGTACTGCCAACCACCACGATCAGGCAATGATCTGTTAACACTAGAATTTGAATTAGATCAAAATCACACAAGTATTGTTGAAAAATGTTCAGTTACACCATTTTGGATTCCATGATTTTAAGCATCACCCACCATTGGTGTAAATCAGTGGAAATGTGTTGTGATGCACGAGGGGTGATTGCATTTTATCAAATCCTAAACCAAATATCAAATTCCCTATCATTCTAAATCCTGTTCAGCTTTTAATGACTTCTATGGTAACTAACAGTTATAAATTAGTTTAAAAACTGCAAAGATTCAATTTAGATCTGTAATATACACTGAGAAACCTACAGGTTTAGATTAAATAGATATCATTTACATTGTATAAACGGGTGTAGCCATGCTTACTTTACAGGCTTATTTAAACAACCTACTCTTTATGATTGATATCCATTAAAAGCTTACGCTGGGAGATCTGTGCAATGCCCATTAGCTAGATAACTTCAGAGTCACCACCAACTACAAAAAACCGTGACGTTACAAGAATGTGTCTTTTTAATCAAAATGATCCTTGACTGACTGTGCCCAGAGACCAGCTTGCAGGAAAGCTATTTTTAATCAGATAAACACTAAAAAAGGTCATTTTAAACCCTTAGGAAAAATGAATAAGCTACAAGCTGATATGCTTTGTCATTTTAAACAGCCAAAGCGGCAGCAGGAACAGCTTAATATGCCTAACACCTGAAATGTATTGTACATTTTCTAATAAGAAAAAAGAACGAGGAGAAAGAGATAAAAAAAAATATCTTACAAGATTTGCCTGAGATAACCAGGATCCAGGATTTTTGACATCTGCAAATTGGTTTCCAAAATGAGACCATCTGTCGAAACTCAGACCTACCTGCACATAATCTAATGGATAGTTTCTGCCCAAATAGTGACCTGAACAGATCCGCATTGCCTGGACATGACCAATCTCATCAAATAAGATATCTTAGCTGGACTAATGGCTCTTGTTTCATGTCCCAAATTTATGTGTAAGATTTAGCTTCCATTATCATTCAATGTCTTTGAGGTTGTGTCAAAGCTGCGGCTGTGTCCCCTGTTAAACATATTCAATTAAGGCACTTCCTTTGAGTAATTAGTATAATCGTTAGGGACAATGCAAAGATGTGTTACGCCCTGATAACATCCGCCCCCCCCTCCAGACATAACCCTACTTACAGGTATACACAACAGCGGATTACTGTACAATACTGTGTTCTGACAAACATGCACCTTGTTCATGGTGTTTAAATCTGGTGTCACACAGACAAAACATTTGCTAGGTTTTGTCCGCTAGATTTAGGATTGGAGTGGATTTAAAAGACCCTACCTGGTCTATTCCCATGAGTTTGGGGAAGGCCCCGGCACTCAATGCCACCTTGACAGTATCTGCTGGCGGGCGGCATGGCTGACGGGGGCGAAGGTTGGTGTGAGTCTCACTGCCTCACACCTTGTCACTACTACTGGAGTAGCTCATCCAAACCTGCAGGGTAAGAGTGAAGAGAAGGAGAGGATGAGGGAGGGAGGGAGGACGAGAGAGAGAGAGAGAGATGAAGGTGGATGGGAATAAAAAGAGAGGGGAAAGAGAAAACAGGGCACGTTAGTCAAGAACTGGGTCTAGTTATTTGAGATGATGTTTGCTTGCATTAGCTTCCCTTAAATTCAAATAATTTCATATATGACTCAGGACAACAAGGTCAACAAGGGCAGTGTTGAAAAATACATAAGACATTGTTATAGTGCAGCAGTGATATAACTTCATATGTGCAGAAGAAGCTACTGAACATTTAGATGTTTAGAGGAAATGAATCAATTGACCTACTTACATAAGTTTACGGTTACTTGCGCAGGCAGAAGTATACACACTGGCCCTGCATATTATCATACCCCAAAACCATTTGAGGTCAGGTTGCCCAGCTAAAATGCATGCTTTCATAAGTGCTAGTATAGAAACCACAGATGTAATACCTGCCATCTATAGTCATTAGCCCACAGCTAGAACACACTCCCCTGTTTGTGTCATGGTTGACCTTAAAGACTAAGCACTTTATGCAAATTCCTGCAGATACCGGTGCTTAAACTCGTATTCAAATACACAGTTCAACTTCGAACACCCACTGATACAAACTAAAGCAGACAAACAGATTTTCTATTTGTCCTATGAGATGACTTTTTTCCAGCAGTAGGCTAATTTAATTTGCAATTGTTGACACATAGAACATTAGGACGTGCCAGTGGGGCAGATACACTCAAGAGCTTAATTCAAATCAAAGTTTAACTGCTAATGAGGTCACAGCAGGTGAGTGAATTAAAAAGTTATGATGTTTTTAAAGATCCACTTTGTTTCACTGGGACCTTGGATCAATTCAGCCAGTTAAACACAGCAGAAAGACACAAACCACCCAGCAGCAACTTGTTATGACTTCCAGAGTGAGGTTTGTGACTTCTTGTAGATATTTTCACAGTAATGAAAGTGCAAGTTCCTGCAGTTTGGGAGATAAGGTAGCTCCATCTCTCTTTCACTGAAGTGAGGTCAGTATGTAGCAACACTTTAGCCACAATAGCCAGTAAGCATGCAGAACTCAACAGCAGCAGCTTAAGCAGGTTACTAGTGTAGAGCTCCTTCCTCTGCCAAATTCCACTAACTAAGGGCTATTTCTCCAATTTTACACATAAAAGGTATCATGGGGAGCAAAAACAGCCTTTGAAAACATTTGTGTTATGTCTTCTGTGATTCTGGATGACCTTTGTCAAATCTGAGAAAAATTGGCCAGACGGATAAATCTGCAAATATAAGCATATCGCAGATATATCATTTTGTGTGTATGTCAGACGAATAAATTGCAGGTAAGAAATGCCAAATATGTGCCTCCATAACACACTTTGGCCACCAGAGAGCGCTGACAAGTTTATTCTTCAACTGTAAAATGGCTCTTGGTCAAGAATTTTAAGCCAAATTTAAGGGATACTTATAAAATTATTTTTGTATTTTTATATGTGTGTGAATGAATATTTGCTGATATATTGTAATCAGATTTTTTTAAATTCTCAAATGTGAATATTAAAGTAAATCAGGTATTGGTTAGGCTAAAGTTTGGAGACTAGAAATTGTTTACGTAGAGCCTTTACAAACGTCTTAATTCATTTGTTTTTTTATTTCTTGCAGGTCCCCCAGCTTTATGGTGCAATACCAAATCTGCCTTTTGAAAGATAAGAAGTTAAAATCAGGGGGAAAGATGCTAGGGAAAGTAATTGACAGAGGGAGGACAAGGAGGGACAGAGTGAAAAAGTGAAATAAGAGCATTTGCTTGACATTTAGTTTCGAGTGAACCACAGATGTGAGGTAAGAGACACCAGAAATAAAAACTGTTATGTTCTCTGCCTTTCACTGGTCAAAACCGCAATTGAAATACACAAACAGACTCTAAATCTGTATTTGTCACCATCTACACCCTGGTTTATACGCTTAGCAACAAGCACACCAACACTCACTCCTCTTTCATGCAAAACACACACACACTCAAATATTGAACATGTAATCCTGGGTGGCTCCTCCCTGGCTTCTGTCCCTGTGCAGAGGACTCCTATGTGGGTACAAAAAAGCGCAATATCTGACAACAGAACAGGCAGCCGAATTGACCTGAAACCCTGTGGCTTTCTAAAATAAGCCAGTTAGAAGCCCCATGGTGGAAAAACAGCCAAATCATAGTCACTCCGAACCACACAGGGGGAACTGGCTAAAGCCACTTCTGTGTGCTTGCAGCGGGTCTACCCACCACTGCACAGTTATCAAGTAGAAAATGTAGCATAGATATCCCCAAAACTGACTGAGGAAGGCATCAATAATTTACCTTCCTAGCCTGTCTAGAAAGCTTGGATCATCCTAGTTCCTGGTGGAGAAGCCTGTTTACATATTTAATCTCGATCCATAATGCATAAAGGCTGGCTCAGATTAATTCCTGGGAGAAAACTATTGAGTGGAATAGAGCGCACGCTGATACATACCGCATGTGTGTATGAACCGAGGCAGAATAGTGAGTGATGAAATGTGTGTTTTTGTGAGGATGCCACTGTACAGTACTGTGTAAGTGTTTGTATGCATGCGTGTGTGTGTGTTTGAAGAGCATGTATTAATTTAAAGTTTACGTAATGAGACTGGCCTGGCGTGTGTGAGTCACCCCATAATGATCCACATAGCCTTTATTCAAGGGCCCGTTGCCATGGCAGCAGTTGCATCAATAGCTCGAGATGTGGATGCATCTTTCTTTCCAAAGCGCGTGTCATAGGCTACTCAAGTCACGTTTGTCACAACTCCCCAAATATGACTCACCCCACCTCCCTGCTTTGAATTTCACCACTGAAATATGAACGAATATGTTCATTGAAGATTAGAGTGGTTTTGTAACGTATGTTAAATACTTTCTGAGACACTTTGCCTTGCAGCTGTGTATCTCTGTTTCTCTCTGTTTCTCCTCTATGTAACCTTATGCAAATACATTTCTTCTCCTGGTCTCTATTCCTGGATAAGCAAGGCGAATGAGATGTGGAGAGAGCAAATGCAAAGAAAACAGAGACAGATACATATCAACATCTGGATATGCACAATTCTGCACACATTTCTCTTAATAGGCTAATTGCTGAAACAAACGTGTAATGTTAAACAATATCAGCAGCGCCATCCTATTAATCCTGTTAAAATAAACAAATGTCTCACAAAGACGAGCCTTACTGTACATACATACAGAATGTGTCAATGAGTGCTTCAGATATATCCTACAGACAATAGCATGTAAGTCATCTATGCGAAGATTATCATCCTTCTCAATATTGACTGAAAACATATAGCGCAGGGACACTTAAGGAAAGCTATGAAGCTGCCACTCTGGAGACTGTCAAGATATTTATCCTTGCTTGCAGTAAGTGTATCAGTCTGAATGGTTGGGCCGTCCACTGTTTTGGTCCAGACTGAAATATCTCTACAACTTATGGAGGGACTGCTATGAAATTTTGCAGGTTCTCTCAGAAGGAATTGTGACAACGTTGGTAATCCTCTGACTTTTCATGAAGGGCCACCATGTTAGCATTGTCATTGTCAGCACATTAGTATGCTGATGTTAGGCACAGCAGTCCATTGAGCTAATCTAAAGTACAGCCCCACAGACATGCTAGCATGGTTTGTCTTAAAATGCAAACCTAAAGATACATTTTAGTTGGGTCTTATCTTTATAGTTGTGGCTATCATTCTTATTAGTGATGTTAAAATTGCACCTTTGAATGCAGTGCTAAAAAGTAGTCCAACTTGACAGGTTTTCAAACAAAGGAAAACAATAAAATTAATACCTAAAGTGTCTGTTGTAAACAAAAGCCAGACCAAAACAACGACAAGGATATGTCAATGTTAGCTTATTGGAGAAAGCAGAATCTGTGTATATATGGGTGGATGAGTAATGTTAAACTAAGTTAAAGTACGTACAGAAATGCCAACAACTGTTAGAAACAGTGGTGCCATTATCATTACCCAACAGAGGTCACTGACAATCATATTTTTCATTAGTAAAACGTTGGTTTTACAAGTGCTCGGTATTTATGTTGGTCACAATTCTTTATATAATGATAAAATAAACCATGATACTCTTTAAACAGCAGAGGGGGCCATCTACTTTTGACTTTGCTTGTTTGTTTGACATCCTACATCACTGTCAGTAGCTGTATCAATGCGCAAAGACTTCAGTTTTACTTTTACAAAGAAAAGGAAATATGCATTATTATTGCAGAGTTTATACCCCAGAAATAAAACAAATATCTTTTTTCAGTTAGTCTTCAAACTGATTTTGTTAAAAAAAAATCATGAAATATGGTGAACCCAGTAATGTTAATTATATTGTATTGAATTGTGAATTAAATGCATCATTACATGCCTATATATAATGGATTGTGTGTGTATATATTTAAATAAAACAACATCCATCGGAATTTACAGTTTGACTTTGCACTGGTTCAACTTTGACTTCCCATACTTACCGCATTAGTGCAGACACAGTTTTTCCATGCAATGAGTGATTATTACCAACAGTTTGGGTCACTCCTTCTGGTTTAACCTCCAAATAAAAGTTGTCTAATTTGGCCAAATTCTTTTTATTTTTAGCCCGTCTGACTGTCTAACTGCTCATTGTTCCTGGCCAGACAGACATTGTTGTCATGTTACCACATTTTAACAATTAGTTTAGCCATTTCTGTCAGTAATGACAGTAATGACTCACCAATGTTGCAGTGTAATAAACAGGAATTATACTTTAAAATGAAGAGTGAATGGTTTGTGTTTGTGCGAAAGTGACTGAGGATTTGGCTTTGTTTTCCAGTAAAGACGGTGTGTGTGTGTGTGTGTATTCCGAGCACCTTGTCATCATCTTCCGAGAACTACAGATGAGTCAAAGATGGTCGGCCTTGAGCCTTATTGATTGGAGACACACACACACACATACA